AACTCTTGAGGTCAGTTCTGAACTGAGATACTGTGACTATCCTGGTTAAAGATACCCGTCAGCAGGTGGATCTGCTTCTCCTCTCCCAGCCCTTCCTTTTCCCTAAGATGTAGGCCTGGTGTGGAGTGAAGGTCTGTAATCCTTGAGACTTGGGAGGCTTAGGCAGGAAGATTGCTGTGAGTTTGAGACCAGTTTGGGCTCTAAAGTAGCCAGCCTGAACTGCATAGTGAAATCCTGTCTCAAAATTGAAACAAAACAGATCTAGAGGAACAATACTGGTAGCCATACAAGGTACAAAGGTTAGGCATTGCTAAGCACAAAGGCAGAGTGTCAAGTCATGGATGGGGTGACCTTGTCCAGAGAGTTGAAGGAATAAGACATGAAGGTCAGAGATACAGAGCCCTGAGTACCAATTTACGCTGGCTAAGCAGAGGATGAACAGCTCAGAAAGGGATCATGGGAATGGCCGGAGAGGTAGAATGAAAACTACAAGGTGTAGCATCATAGATGCACAAGTGGGAGGCAGTTTCCAAGTGGGAGTGGTTAGTACTCTGTCAAAATATCATCAATATAGTCTCAAAAGTGCAAATTGGGTTAGACATCCAGAAGGTCCTTAGTGAGCTAAACGCTGTTTCAGTGAAACAAGGGCCTAATGCCAGGTGCAGTGGGCAGGCAACACATTACATGGGATGGGACAGTGTAGCTCAGTGATGGCAAACCTTTAGAGCTTTCAGAGGTACCAAGCAGCTGGCTGCTGCATGCGTGCCAGAGGTTCACCACTAGTATACTGAATGAGGATAAACCAGGGTGTGTGTGTGTGTGTGTGTGTGTGTGTGTGTGTGTGTGTGTGTGTGTGTGTGTGTCTGAGTTAAAACAGATGGGAGAGATTTAACCAGGGGCAGGAAATTGACTACAGAGATGAGGGGTAGATGAGCATGCCTGGTTCCTCAGGCATTGTGAGGGTTGGGAATTAGAGCAGAGAGGAAAGGGCCAGCCCTAAGAGCACCAAAACACAAGGTGCAGGCCCACAGACTCAGTGGTGACTTATACCAGTGAGGGGCCAGGGCTGCAGCTCAGTGGCCCAGAGCTTGCTGAGCAAGACCCTCAATACTGAGAACACAAAAACAGCTACCCCCCAAACACCTGATGTGATGTAATTCCCAACCCCCCAGTGGTTGTAGTCTATAAATATACCCGTGAGCATGGCGGCGAGGGTGAGCATCTCGTCCACACAGTTAAACTCGCACGAGGCCAGCAGGGCTTTGGCCAGCTCGGGTGCCAGAGGGAACTCTGATAAGATGACTCCCAGATCTGACAGATCTCCATCGTCATCCAGGGCTGCTAGGTAGTCTAGGTCCTCCAGGGCCTGCATCAGTGCTTCTGGAGCTGGTGAAGACGGGGCTCAGAGGGCATGAAGTCTCAGCGGTGGGCAGAGGGTGGCAGTGGGTAGGATGGGTGCTCACCCGGTCGATCCAGGAAATGGCACTGCCCTGGCTCGGCTATCTGCCTCCTCTTTAGTAGTAACATCAGGGAGCTCAGGTTCTCTTCACACACCCTGGGCTGGGGCAGTGGGGGAGCCTTTAGCTCTCGGGCATACAGGCAGAGGTAGGACCCTGAGGGAAGAGAGAGCTGGAGAGTAGATTCACCAGGACTTGGACACAGCACCTCTTCTCAGGCTGGGTCTCCGAGGGCAATGGCTCTTACCTGGAGGGAACCCTCTCGCCCGCAGTCGTCTTGCTTCTGCCTGACACTGGCTGACTGGCCTTAAGACTTGGGATTCTGCTCGGATCCGGGGATGGTAAACCTATTGCCCAAGCCCCAGCCCAGGTCAGGACAGATCACAGCCTGTTTCTATTTGTAGCCCCACACCCCCATCTCTCTCACTCACACTTCGCAGCTCCAGTCCTGAGTCAATGACATGTCGGATGGATGGGAGGGAGAAGGAGAAGTCAGCCAGCCAGTGAGTGACCACAACCTTCCGGGTCCCCACATCCGTGTCCTCATACATGGCCTGAATGGCTTGACCACTGCCTAGGTGAAGGGGCAGCACCCGTGGCAGAGGCTCTAGGAGCGCCAGGGTCCCTATCTTCCTGGACAAGGATTCACAGCACAGGGAAATTTCCTGAGGAGAGGGGTGGGGCATTAGGGAAGTTCTTAGTTTTTTTTTTTGGGGGGGTCACAAACCCTTTTGAAAAACTGATAAAAGCTATGGCCCTTTACTCTGAAAAACCATACATTCTTATAAAGTTGAGGACATTCTAATTTCAGAAGTTCAATGAAATCTCTGCATTCGAAGGAATCAGGACAGTGTAGCAGATGTCTTTATCCTGAAATCCTTGGCTTCTTGTGGTACTGGGTATTGAATGTAGGATGTTTGTACTGAGCTGCATCCCAAGCCCTTTTACACTTGTTTTACTTGCTTTTTACCTTTTTGAGACAAGTCTTGCTAAGTTGCCCAGTGTGGGCTCGAACTTGTGATCCTCCTGTCTTGGCCTCCCAGACGGCTACGAGGATTAGGTGTGCACCACCATCCTTGGCTCTGAATTCCCTGGGTTTTTCTCCAGGACCTCATCAGAGAATAAACGGTACCCTTCCACCATTTCTAACACGCATTAGCCCCACTTCCCTGGGGTAGGAAGGTGGTATACACAAACACTGCCTTTTGGAATCCATTCCTTTTACCTCCTCACTGGCCAGGTACACTAGCACATCTCCTGGAGCCTCCTTCCAACACAGTTCAAGCACAGCTTGGCAGGCAGCTTCCACCCGATCAGTAGGAACAGTGTCTCTGTAGATAGGGGTGGGACTTCTGCCCGGCATTCTAGGTACATGCACAACAGGAGGATTGCCCCAGAAGGCTTGGAGCTTAGGTTCAAGGGCTGGGTCTGTAACCACAACAACTCGGGGGTCCCCTGGAAGGTTTCCCAGCAGGGTATCTCGTAGCAGCCCCTGGAGTGAATCTGAGGCCACTGACCGCTCCTGAGTCTCATCCAACACCAGCACACCCCAGGATCCAGTGCCCCGGGTTGAGGCCAGCTCCTGCAGGAGCAGCCTGTCCCAGCAGAACCTGTTGACATTGGTAGGAGGTAGGGGGGGTCAGTGTGAACAAACACTAGAATTGTAGGGGAGCTCCTCTCCACAGGATGGATGGATATATATATATATATATATATATCCATA